CCTGAAGGAAACTTCATTCCCCCATTATTTATTTATATGCAGCTTTAAAAATCTGGGAAAAGATTGCCTTCAGGTTGACCTGCTTGTAAATAAGATATTACTAAGGTTACAGAATGTAATTTCATATACTATAGGATAAATTAATAATTCAGATGTATTAAATATATTTTGTATCCATACTGTAAATTGGATGGAAATAACTGTGAGAAAGAAACTAGTCACAAAAGCAATTCTGCAAATATTTATATTTGCTTGGTGCTATTATATGTAGGCTTTGTAGCAATTCGAAATTTCTTCTTGTTCAACCTAGGTCATAAATACAACCAAATTTTAAAACCTTATTTTTCATAAAGAATGTCTTTACGAAGCAATATTTTCATAGATAGTTTTGGATTTGAACATATAAATAAGTCAAATTAGGTTACAGTTCTGTCTAGAACTGTAGGATTAAGAAACTGACTTTTTTGTATAACAGGTATTTCACATTGTTATTACAGAAACACAACATTTCAATCAAAATATTTAGGCATCAAATAAGTGTTAGGATGTTTTCCACAATACAGTCTAAAAAGAAGTTCTATCAATTTCACTGGCTTCTGTAGTCCCTTGACTTATGACCACAACTGAGGTCAACATTTCTGTTGCTAAGCAATATAGTTACATTTTGTCCCATTTTATGACCTTTCTTGCCACAGTTGTTAAGTGAATCACTGGAGTAGTTAAATTAGTAGTACAGTTGTTAAGTGAATCTGGCTTCCTCATTGACTTTGCTTGACAGAAAGTAGCAAAATGTGATCACATGACCCAGGACACTGCAACTGTCATAAATGCATGTATGTTGCCACATATCCAAATTTTTATCATGTGATTGTGCAAATGCTGCACATCATGTAAAAAAGGGTCATAAATTATTTTTTTAGTGACATTGTAACTTTGAACAGTCAGTAAACCTAAAGTTGAAAGTTGAGGACTACCTATATTGCAATTTCAGACCTGAAATGTTTTGTTGAACATTTCTACCTGAGATTGACTTTTACAGCATTACTTCAGCAAATATTAAATTCTCCTTTCATAATTACTTCAGAGAGCTGTTTTTGTTTAGGCTGAAAAATGCCTTTGCTGTATGAAGTGGCTGGAAAAGGTATTATTCCTTTTTCCATTGCAGTGGCACCAAAATATCGGCTGTCAATTAGCGATTAGAACTTAGTAATTCTAACATGCTTTTCCAAACTGAATGAGGATGGTGGTGTGGTTTTCCTCCTATGTCTTGATAAAAAGAAGATCGTGTAAAGGAATTTAAGAATGGTAAGATAAAGAAAGAACAATGGTAATGAAGGAGACTGTTGGTTGAATGTCTGAAATGAATGTAGTTGAATGAAACGTGAAGGGCAGAATGCATTTGAAGATTGTTTTAACAAAATAGTGCTACTTGTGCAATGTCTAAGGAAAACTATCTGGAAGAAAATGACTGCTGCTTTCAACATAGATGACCCTATTGCAAGTTCTTGACTGAAATCTGAAGTGATCCTCTTATAGATTGATAGAATTGAAAGACAGCAAACCTAGCTAAGATAGTCTGGGAATTGCACTTCATGTGTATTGCACATAGCAAAGATATAATTGTATGAGGATTGCAAGAATATATAATAAACTGTCCTTTAAGAAGCAACCTTTTTAAGCAAACAAGCAAGGATTTGTATATTTTTTGAATGTTATAACAAATAAAATGTATTTTTCAGTAAACAATGTTATGAACAACCTGTCCGTATTCTGTCTGGATTATTTAAAAATATTGAATTAGAAATCTATTAATCTGTAATGCGGGGGGGGGGGGGGGGAATATAACAAATATTGTTATGCAAAATAAAGAATAAACTCATATATAAATCAATTAAGATTCACCATCTCTTCACCAAGGGCAACTAAAAAACACTAACATTATTCTCCATTTCTTAAAATATTGACTATTTGTTAACGCAATGCATCCTCTGCCATGCCTTTAATAAAGGCAGAATAGATAAAGAAACCACAAAAGTGAGAAATGAGTGCCAAGGAATGAATTGTATAATTATGAATTGTAATTTACTCTGTTTTCTGAAAAGAACACATAGTTGCTGCTTGTGCTATCCTTCCAAAGGGCAGTTGCACTAGCTTAGTAAGGTTTTCTTGAACCTCCAATGGCCTTAAGGTCTTTTACAGGTCCTTGAAAGATATATGTTGCAATGATGCAGAAGGTGAGGTGGCTTATGGGTAAACAAAGATTTGCAAAGGCTTTCTGTTGAGCACAAAACTAGCTGCAAAGATTGAACAGTTGCCTCAAATTTAGAAGAGGCTGTTTTGAGCATCTTGGAAATACTTGGAGCTCAAAAAAAGATGATAAAATGCAACTCTTCCAAACTGCCCCACAACTATTTTGCATTTACAGGAAGTATTTCATATTAAACGGGCATTAAAACTGGAGGTTTCAATTTCAGTTTCTGTATCGCTGGAAATTAATTAGCCACAATGTTTTCTTTCTTTCTTTTTAAGTAGTAGATAGTAAGGACAGCTCTTGCCTCTGATTTCAAGATTGTCCTTTTCTAGTGTACCTTCTGAAAACAAACAGCATAAAATAATGAGAAACAAAAGGGTAACATTTTTCCTATTTATTTCATAGGTCCCAAATGAATAGAATATCTTGAAACAGATATCAAAAAGCATAAAATCATCCACCTATTGAACTGACTTTTAGGCATGATTAATGCCAATGCCCAAATTTAGCAGCTCCATACAGGCCAGTGTTACTGGTAGCATTAAGCTATCCATTGAGAATAGTTTCATTCATTTATTCCACTGCTTTATATTCAAGGAAATGCAGTAAAGCACAACATGAAATGAAGACCAACATCAGTTTGATGCCTCTAAAATCACAGTAATATTTAGTTGATCAATCAAGAGATAATGTGTTGCTCACGTAACCAATAAAAAGTTTACACATAAATACTATTGCTGTAATTTCTATGGTCATCATCAAAAGAACTCTAATGTTCTATATTACTTAGTGAACTTTGTCACTATGTGGAGATCAAATCCATCTCACTGATCAGTGAGTTATTTTTAAATAATCTGAAATCTTGTGGCCAACATATATAGCAAATATAAATAATATAAATTAAATCACACTTACTAAATAAAAGCTTCAATATTTTGAGTGGTTCAGATATATATTTATTATTATTACACAGTAGCAATAAAAACATTTAGTCACTTCTGAAAAAAAAATGGCCAGTGGAGTGTTTGATAATTATATGGGAAGAAAATATCTAAGTTTGCTAAGAACAAATTCTAAGCTTTCCTAATACCTAGTTAGGAACTTGCGAAACCCTTAAGTGAGAAATTTGTTTTCAAAAAGGTAAGGCATAAGATACAATCCTACAACTTTAACTAAATCCACCAGATGTATATGTAAACAGTGCAGATCTGCTTCTATTATTTCAAAATTATTTACTTTTGAAATAAATAAATGAAATAAATTTGTATAGTGCAATATTAATGCAATATTAGGGATTTTCAGTTCAATGTATAGTGAAGGATGTGTGTTTGTGTTTATTTTCATAGTCATAATTTTTTTGTACACTGAAGATGGTTATTTAATTTCATTGTATGAGGTGCAAAGACATAAAGTAAACTAATTTATTGTTTACCAAATAGGTCAACATAGCACCTGCAGAGAAGAGGCGATATACAGCATGCTTACAAATGTTTTTCTTATAATTTTCCCAATAACTACAACACTGATCATATGGTTTTTATGGCTAAAATAGAACAGACATAGTAGGAAGAAATGGCCAGATACTCTGGTAAGGTATGCCAACTATAGGTATGCAAAAACACTCAGTAGAACAGAAATGCTTAATAATGGTTATGACTATGTCTTACTGGCTATGCCACTACATATGTGGAAGGCCATTTCCCATGCCCTCAGCATCGACTTACACTGACCTTCATAGCAGAACAGGGATTTAAAGTACAGTAGGAGGAAGCAATGTATGGTCTACAAATCTGTCCATAGCACTAAACCATTCTTTTTTTGAGTACCTGAATTCTGAAATGAAAATTTGGCAGTTTCCAGCTGAAATTGGCATAGTTCTGTGTATAGGTATGAAAGAGACTAAAATTACTGCTAACAGTTTAAAACTTTTATTATGTGGTGAAGTCTATAATATTAAAAATTCTACCCTTCCTCCCCACTTTAAAATCTAGCCCTAGTGATTTACATGATGTTATCTGCTCATTGTAGTCTTATCTATCAAAATCCCTCCTTAACATTTGCTACCTATTGAAGTTTGATTGCACCTGTTATAATGGGCAGTTTAGTGTTTGCTGGATTTGCTCAGCAAGCTAATTTAGAATAAAAAGGGGTAATAGTTTGTAGTCTGCATGTTATAAGAAACTCACTAGTGACTTAACGTTGTATGAGCCATAATATGATTTAATTTGGAGAGGCATTATATAAACTGTTCTTTTGTTAATCAAGATCTAGAACATAGCTTGTTGTATGAACTCAGTTACAAAGCTCCAAAACAGAATCCAAAAAAATTCAAGACTTTGGCAGAAAAACAGTAACAGTACTGGATCACAGATTTTTTTTTTTTAGTTACAACCAAACCAAAATAATAAAATATTTGTACTTACATATATGGCATTCAGCTTTGTTCGGGTATTTTCCCACGTCATTGTAGTTGTGCTTTTAAAGTTGTAGCAACGTTTCGGCAGAATCTCATCTGCCATCATCAGGCTTCTGTATAGTGTTTGTCTGTGAGTCAGACTTTTGGCTGCCCCAAATTTAAATCTGAAACCACTGTAAAAGTCTGACTCATAGATGAACACTATACAGAAGCCTGATGATGGCAGATGAGATTCTGCCGAAACGTTGCTACAACTTTAAAAGCACAACTACAATGACGTGGGAAAATACCCGAACAAAGCTGAATGCCATATATATAGTATATATATATATATACTGTACGATCTCACATGAGAGGAAACTGCAATGTTAGTGGAGTCTAGTCATCTTTAGACACTCCCTGAATGTCTAAGCATTCCTTAATTCAGAGACTTTGTTTTTTTATTCATTTCACTATCAGTTTTGAAATGAGAATTTGAGGGCAATTCCACATAAGGTAGTTTTATTAGAAAGGGTGGGGGAAGGAAGCCAACAACAATTTTTACATTACATAGATGGATTAATTTAAAGCTAATTGTATTTAGTACTTCCCAAACTAGGGAGGGTACATTTTCCACTCAAGTAAAAAATTACAAATCCTTACATCATATTGTGGTATAGGCATCCATTTCCAGCCTAGCATATGGAAAAGATGATTATAAAGCCATAATAAACTGAGAAAGGAAAAAAAAACATTCTGTTCTTTATCTCTGATTTTCTCCTGGTTTCTGTTCCAGTTTTGTGATGAATGACCATCACATTGTTCCTTGAAGCATATAAGATCTTGACAAAGCATCATCTTGGACTATGTTTGTTTACACTGGAAACAGGTTTGGACTTAGAGGGAGGAAGATTAATGTTCTCAACTCTATTGTCTTCCCACCATATGCATATGAAAGTTAAAATAAAGATAAATTATGAACGCATGAGTTATTAACTTAAATCTTAGCTGCAATCTTCAAATGCATTTACTAATGAGTAAGACTAGCCGAATACTTCTGAAAAATTGTACCCAATATTCTTTAACAGATAAATAGTATCTAAAATATATTCTAGTTAAAAAACCATCTGCTGAAACCATTAAGATGAATGAGACTTCAAAGAAATGTATCTACACATTGTATTAAGACTTGCAAAAGGAACATGTTTTGGCTGAATTTTGCTAATAACCCTTTAAGCAATTTTAGCACAGAAGATTTTTTTTATTTTTTATGGCAGCCACTTTATTATGGTTCCATTAAAGTTATGATTTCTCAGTGTAAAATAGCTGAGAAGGGCAATCTAAATAAAATTTTAAATAGTGTTTGTTTTATTGAGTAATTTTCAAGAACTCCCATAATGAACATAGGTTTTGTATGGTTTAAGAAACAATACATATTGTTTTGACTTGTAACACCAAATGATAAATATGAGAAAAGGAAACTTCTGACTGGATTAATTGCAGCTTTTTTCTTTTGTTGTTTAAATGTTTCAAATTTCGGTTTCTTTTTCATTGTAAAACTCTGTTAGCATTTTTTTCAGTTTCTGTTATTATCAAAGTTGATAAAGTTATTTTTAAAATTTTACAATAAAATTTGCATTTTAATTTGTATGTATTTACAATGAAATGTAATGCACATTTCTTTGGGCATATTTCTTTGCAAATTTGCCTAAAATGCATAGCTTTCTCAAGCAATTTCCCTAGCATGGATAACTAGAAAAGTTTGCAATCAAGAATTATATAAGCTCTTCAGTGAACCCTCTGACTCTAAGAGAAAATACACTAGCAGCTCTAAAATTACTGAAATGGCTGTTGAAATTGCTGTCAGGTGCAGAGAGGTAAAACAACACATATAGTATTATTTATTTTTCTGTCCAAGGCTAACAATTTTGAATGGGGTGTAGGGAGTGATTATAAATTACAGAAGACAGTGAGGAACTGATTAAAACTTCAGTTCCATCAAGTATCTCACCCCCAAGTTATTTTTCCTCTTAAATAACAGAAAATGCTCTTAAGAGATCCAAGCAGAATTATGTCCTATGACCTCTAATGGTCTTAAATGAATATCTGGATTTGAAATAAGTTGTATTCCTAGCATGTTACAAACAAACCCAAAATAAATCTTTTAAATATATGTAAATATGTAAACACGGTGCAGAAGACTCAATCCTGGGCCTCTTAAAGTTCAATACAACAAAGTTCTCACAGAGTTGTAAATTATAGGTTTAGGCTCTAAACGAAGGTAGCAAAACTTGAAGCCGGAATCAGCTAGGTTTTTGGTGAAATGCAAGATCAGGTGCCTATTTCAAAACCAAGATTCAGAAAAATCAGCTTGGTCACTGAAAACTTCCCTGCACATATTGGAGTTTTCTTGGTGAAGGGGATATTCAGAACCTGCCAACAAGTTCACTTTTCTTTTTCGAGAGATGTATGGCTTTCCAGAAGGAAGACTTTCGTATTTTGTTAGGTATTGCCTGCAAAAAATAGTAGTGATATGATTATACTATATTACTTGAGCAATATAGCATGTTATAATCTTAGGAATAATTCTTAATGACATACACATTTGGAATGGATCGTGTTTTAAGTTTTCCTTATCCATAATTTTCCAGAGCAAAGTTGAATAAAAATGAATGCAATACACGTCAATGGTACTTTTTTCCTTGAACACAATGTCAGATGCTGTTGAAAGCCAATCTTTGGGAAAACTTGATTATTGAGAACTTCCTTGCGTAGATCAAGGCCAAAGTCAGGTGTAATAGGAACAGTATTACTGGTGAAGGTGAGATGTTTAAAAATAATCCATGCTTACATTCAAGTGATCTATAGTGGTATCTTTCAGATCTTCCATATGAATGCATGAGGGCTGGAGAGTGATGTGTACATTTTGACTACTAGCTCAGAAGAATGTAGCCTTTAATTTAAAAAAAAACCTCAAAAACTTTCCTCACAACAGAGAGTGGCAATGTGGTTCCTCCAGAAAGTAGGTATTTTTTAATCTCATTAGATTATAATAATCTTCTGTGAGAACTATGAAATCTCTTCTGTGGAGAAAACTCTCTTCTATAAAATCTCAAATACCTCTCAAAGTAAGTCTATAAACACGTGAAATTATGAGATTTAGTGTCCTTTTGGAAGTAGTCTTTAAGGATACTTAGACCATTACAATGGCATCTGAATAATTTGCTGATCACTGCTCTACAGTTGTAGATAATTCTCATTTAATGGCCACTTGTTCAGCAACAGTTCAAACTTGCAATGGTGCTGAATGAATGGTTCTTATGACTAGCCCTCATAGTTCTGGCCATGATAGCCTCTCTAGATATATTAGCATTTGTGATCTTTGTCAGCTTCCAACAAGCAAAGCCAATGTGGAAGCCATTCAGTTCTCCTGAAATTAATTCCTTATTAACCTCTATTTCCTTTTTTCTGTCCTGAGAAGTTAAAATTTACCACTAGCTTCTTCCAGAAAATGAATGGTACCAGTATAACCTACATTATTCATCTTCTTGATATGTATCTGTCACACATCTTTGAAGTTCAATTGATCTTTAGCATCATACAGTACAGTGATAGATAGGAGTTTATGTGTTTTGGGAAGTATAAAAAAAGAAAACATTTGATTCAGTCAACTAATTCCAAGGTAGTCAGATTTAGTCTTAAACTAATTTCCTCAATCAATCTGTCTTTTCATGAAACTGATGACCTTGGTTAACTAATCTATGCCTCTCGGAGATCAAAAATCTCTCTAGACTATACCTCTAAGGATGGTGGTGAACATTTTGTGGAAGATTGATGTCTTTCCTAAACTTGCCTATCATGACACCAATCTTGATCATACCATGTTTGCTTTTTCCCTCACTTTGCTTGGAGAAAAAAAAGTGCATTTGCAATGCTGAAGGGGTTGTAAAAATTGCCACTGTGGTATATTGATCATACACTGCTAGAATACGGTGATAAGTCTATCAGAGAGAAAGTTGGAATCTGGATTGGTAATGAAATTAGGACAATCAACAACTATTAATTAGGGACTAATTTAAGGATCATCCAACCTCCTATATAAATTGCACTCTAATTTCTTATTTATTTAACTCATAATGATCTTCTCCAGAATCAGAAAGATGCATTAAAATGCTAGGCAGATCAATAAATATTTCTAGTTGCTTCCTACCTAAATGGACTTTCGGTTTTATCCATCTGCATGCACACTAAAAATGGGTATTGCGAAAATTTCACTGTGGTGACAAAATCCAACATTGCTTCAATTTCAGTAGTGGTTTCCAGGCCAGTGTTCACAAACATAGCGTCCACAACAAAATTACCAACCATAGCCACAGCTCCCCTGAAACAAAAGAGGAATGAAAAGAAAACAAGTGGTCAAAAATTGAATATTATATTGGAATAATATCTCCTCCAATGGGTAACTTTTAGACAAATTGTTCTGTATAAAAATCTCATTTCACATTGGCTTCCCTGGCTGCACCTCTATATTACTGATTCTTCCTAGCAGTCAAACATTGATGTTGCTAAGGATAGGAGGAGAAAAAGAAAAGTGGCTGTATAGTTTAAACATTAATTCCAGATGTTTCAGGAATTCAAACCTTGGACAGGACAGGAATGATAAATCCAATTCCCTACATTTTGCTGAATGACAAATTACAACATTCCTCACTCTAGCCTTCTGGTTGTGATCACTGAACATAGTAATGTCACAACTGGAAAAATATGGGCTCACCCCAAGAGTTCTCAGGTATTGTTCCACTAATTATTTTACTCAAAGCTGATAAGGGCAATACACAAGTTTTATTCAACACCTGATAAAGACAATACACAAGTTTGAGCTACCAAAGGTATAAGTAACAGTTTTTACTATTTTGTGGTTCATCTGATCCACGGAGGGAAAATGATAAAACATTGCCATGAACACCATATAAACATCAATTGTGAGTTGACAGTCACATGGAGGAAAGTTTATCTTCACCTTCACATGACTATCAGCTTGCAACTGAAGTTGGGATGCAAGTATGCAATCCAGGGTTTGTGTTGTGTTGATACAATAGACATTTCAAGTTTTCACTATCGCTGTTTATACCGGCTGTTTCAACTATGGTTTTTAGAATCAGATAGAAAAAGAATCTTCTGCAGAAAAACTAAAGTTACATTTTCTCTATTTTCCATATGTTTTCATACAACTACTGTTTCAACTAAGGGTCTAAGTTTTTAAAACGTTTTAAAATTGTATTATTATTATTCTTGTGCCTTATCTATCATTCAATGTTGGCGATCCTATTTTTATCAACAGCCACATGAAAAAGTACTGTTGAGTTTTACCTAGACCAGTCCCTTAGATTTTGATTTAAAATTGTATACACTAACTAAATTTAAAATCCCTCATGTTGATGATGAAATTTAATATCTCCATCAAGAACTAAATTAGATGTCTCACCGGTTTTTAACTTTTGTTTTGGATTCTCTGTACCAAAGGCTGAATTCCATTCCTCCTGATGCATCGATAGTCACACCTCCCTTGAATTCAGCACTGCAAATCAGCCCAGATTGCAGCTGGATAGCCTAAGTAAAAAAAAAAAAAAAAAAGAACACATATAATATTTCTTGCTTATCTAGTAAATGTTCAGATTAGTAATGTTTTAGGAGGACACAAATACTTTCTGTCTCTACTTCTCAGACTCCCATTCTGAGTTTTCCCTTTGGTGTAAAGAAAAATCTCTCCATTCCATGCAACTGGGCTACTCAACCAGCTAAGAACAGAAGATCCATAGATGAAGCTTACAGTGTAGGGCAGCTACACAGAGAGTCACTTCAAAGTACATTTTTTTAATAACAGAAACTGTTCTTGAGACAGTTGTTTCATGTTGCACAGAAATGAAACATCTTTCCCCTCAGCACTATTCATGCAAGTTCTTTTTGATATTTCTGGTCCACTAAATCAAATAAATAGGTTTCCAGGACATACATTTCACAGTACATACCTGTGAGAAATCCAACAGAAGGATGAGCCCTTTCACTACATTAATGGGGTCTCCAGTGGCCGAGAACATTTTAGACATTAAATCACTATATCCTTGGAAAAAGGTAACTGGCCGGAGTTGAACATCAAGCACGATTGCTGACAAACCAGCAAAGGAGTCAAGATTTTCTTCTCCTTCATCTGCAGATGTAGCTATAATAGATTCCAGACCTTGAGCTTCAATTACCACCTAAAAGAAAGCAACAACACACAGCACATGGGAAAATAAATATGTGCATGCAAGGACATTTTGTTCTAAATTCAACAAGATTGTCATATTATTCCTCTCTTGTTCACACCTTCTTACAACTGAGAAGCGGCGCAAGGCTTTTCTAAGATAACTGCTACATTGAAAAGGAAAGGAGACAACTACCATCAAAGGGTAGGATGGGAGGGTGGGAGGAGAATAGGTGAAAGCTACAGAAGGGGAGATTTTGGTCAATGTAGAGAATATTTTATGGAAGCTCTTGTTTGACAAGGAAGTAGACTTTCTTAGATGTCCTATAAATCTATTGGAGGGATATATACAAATTCTTTTAGTCATGCATCAAATACTACAGAGTCTTTAATGACAAGGGTTGGGAGTAAATGATCACCAGATCCTTTCTCATTCTATGATTCTATCAAAATTTGATAGACATAGTTGGACATTCAAGGTAATAAAAACTGCAGCTAGTCAACTTCTCATAATTATGAAAGATGCGGAAACACTTTTTTTCCCCACCTGGCCAATTAACAGTATTTTAAATGTAAAAAGTAGGGAATAGAAAATGATGGAGTTGCTGTTACAATAAACTCTAAGCTACGCCATCGAAGGAAGCTTAGAGCACACGGATTCAGGTTCAGTCTGAAACATCACCACTCAAACATCTGGATGATGAGCAGGACCTTTAACACTGTAATGAATTAAGAGGACAACAGTAAGCTGTTCATCTTCCAAACCACTTTTATGACTAGAAGAGAGGTATTATGCTTCTGCGTGCATAAGGTTTAAAGCAATTCTGAACCATTTGCACAAAAAGCATGGTCCTAAACAATAGTTTGATGTAATTTAAGGCAATTTTCCATGGTAAGTTGTATATGACTCCAGCTGCTGGCTAGGCTCTTTTCTGATGTTTTTATTTTAATAGTGCATGAGACATACCTGGCTGGCATGAAGTTGAGCAAATTTATTGAAAAGAAAGATATTCATGTTGCTTCTTCTTAAGATGCCCGAACCAGAGTACAGTATATCAAGGCTATATGTAGACGATAGAACTTGGTCACCTTAATTAAACAGAGTTACGTGTTGTAGTTACAATTTTGGAAAAACAATCAAGAAATGCAAATATAATGTAATATTAATTTTGGTCATCACATACGTGTTAAGTAACCAGAGAAGGCCGAAGAAGAACCCATTTTTGAAAATCGGTCATAATTATGAATCAATATGTCCTTCAGAACTTTACGGATCATTTTGCTGAAAAACAAACATTTTATTTCTATTGGAGAAGAAAACATTTTCCCTGTACAATAAAATACCAAAAAGATACATTTTATAATAGCATTACATTTTTATTTGAGCTGAAATCCATACTAAGAACCTTCCTTGGAGAAAAGATACTAATTTATTTAACTAATTAATCTGATTAAAGAGATATGGCTGTTTGCTGAAAAATATAGTAAAATAATCTCATCCTTAAAAACTTCTACTTCTCTATGCACATCGTTATGCCACCAATTGATGGCTCAAATTCTATAGTTCAGCCTACACGAGAATTGTACTTACGTTGAGTAATTCTTCTGTAGTGTAAATCTGTTTTCTCTGTGTTCACAATGAAACACAAACCTGCCAACCACATTTAGACTAATGTATTGTCAAATGTACCCCATTTTGTTACTATTGTGTAAACCCCCAAAATTGGTTAATTTTTTTAAACCCATCACAGTAAGCATACTACACTAACACAATCATTCTATCAGAGAACTGAGTTAGCATTTTGCTTGCCTTAATGTGGATGTCTTGATTTTAAAAAAATTCTGATGAGTAAAGCTATCTTAACTTTTCTAGTCATATTCCTCCCACCCCTACTACTACTACTACTACATCAAAAAAAAATTTAAGTGTTAAATCATTGCAAGATGAAGATCTCCTACTTGAACAGGAGGTTGGACTAGAAAACTTCCAAGGTCCCTTCCAACTCTGTTATTCTGTTAAGAAAGGAACAGGAAATACGTACATAGGACTGCTAGCCAGTGCACTTTTAAGCTCTTTTTAAAAAACTATGCTTTTTATCCCAGCATAAATGTGGCAGAGGTGTTATGAATCCCACTGTACAAGAGTAATATTTGTGGAGCAGTCCTATCGCAGCATGGTTACACAAATAACAATATTTGATATACCTGGCAGGCATTTCAAAACGTAGTATGTCCTGGACTAGTGAAAGCATGTACTTATTCATTTCCAGTGGCAGCTCTCCAATAGAGAGGAGGAGGTTTTTAACTTCCATGAAGGACGGGTTGCTGTTGAAGATAATAGCAGCAGCTGTGGTTCGTACAGTCTTCTCATGAACTTTATAATTCTGGTGATAAATCCTGTTCATGGTTTTTTTCACCTGGTGGAAATATAATCTGGTCAATTCCACTGAATAGCTGATAGAAGAAAAGAAGAAAGGAAAGAAAGCCTATCGCCCATAAATGAGATCAGATAGATTTTTTTTAAACTTCAGATGCTATACCTCCTGTGTACTGGGATGGCATCAAAATTCAAATGATTGTGTCAGGATCAATAACTACCAAGGAATTTGACCTATTCCTCCCAATTCTCTTAAACTGGAGGAAAAATAGTGAATTTTGGTTAACATATACCTTACTAGGTGGTGGTAGAAAATATTGAGATATTATAGATCATGCATCAAACTTGAAAGCTATAGGATTAATTGCTAGATAACCTAGCAATTTGAGTTCAAATCTCATTTCTTTTTCACCTTTCTGTGTATTGAACTTCACCTAGGATCATACAATATGTTCATATTTGTTGCGACAGCTACATGGAAAGACCAAAACATGGTTCTTCTCCCAAAATGTTAAATATATTTCTGCCCATATCCAGAGCAATCAATGAGACACCCTTTTCTAACCTTAAAGATATATTGGATAACAACTCCCACTATTTCTAGCTAATGGAATTTGTAGCCTAACACATCTGGAATGTATATGAGAATTACTTCTCAGATAAAAGTGTTTCAGCTATAAAAACAATGAATACACAGAAACTCTTCTGTCACAAAAGAGGAAGGCATCCGTATCTTTTCACAGAATATGCAGAAATGGACAAGAACTGAATAATTTAAATTTGCCTGTATCTAAGTTTTTCATAATCATCAGTGGATTTCTATTTCTTTTCTTCTGATAAATGCTTCTTTTACCTTCTGTTTAATAAATGTTTACCTTCCTTCTAATAGAATTATTTGATTCTAAGTCTTTGGATAAAATGTTTCCATCCAGTTTACAAGAAAGAAAATCTGAAAGTAAGAAAGGTGCTCAAGTATTACATTGCCTGAAGCTTTTCCAAGTTTGGATGTAGAAAATTTTAAAACAAGAATTGGCAATATGGGACCTGCAATAATCCAGACAGCGTATGTAAACAGCTCAAGATACATTAAAATTACATTTTTAATTGTAAGAATTTTTAACTCTCACATGAAATCACCAGAATTCTATAAGGTTTCATATCTCAAGATTTTATCATTTTTAAAATATGATGATCCAGCCAAATTTGGGTAATTTTCTGGAAGGGCAGAATGACAGCTGATGCTTAAAATGGTTGCTGATATAAAAAAACTTAAAAGGTATACCCATCATTCTCTTGAACTTTGCATGAGAATGCCATAATCTTTGTGGGTTCTTTGGTAAAATACACATATGTATTTACAACTTTTTCCTCTAAATGAAGGACCATCAGATAAGGGGGCATTATCCAATACTCCTAAAAAACCTTGTGTACTTTTTATTTACCTCAGTAGTTATGGAAGAATGATCATATCTCTGTAGAGCAGTAACGGCGATGTTGCTGATAGGTCCTTCTCCTGACTCAGCGAATTTCAGCAGCACAGGAACAGCTTCTGGCAAAAGGGCATTTTTCAGTGCCAAAAGGAACATCTTCACATCATCAGCTTTATCTGCTCTGTTCAAGCCTTGGAATATCAGTTTCTTGGCTTCTACAACAGCCTGGAAAGAATCCACCCCACTATATTAATACTGCACCAAAGAGAACCTAGGGGAACCTACTGTAGTAAAATGAAGAGAAAATTTTAAAGAAAACTATGAATCAAGAAAAATGTATAGGTAGTCCTCAACTTATGACCACAATCGAGACTAAGTTTCTGTTGCTAAGCAAGGCAGTTGTTAAGGGAGCTGTTCCCCATTTTATGACTTTCCTTGCCACAACTATTAAGTGGCATGGCCGGGGTGGGCAGGTCCAGTTTGACGTCACTCATTGAGGCTCCATTTTCAGCCACAACGGCCTCCTGCAGCCCTTTGCCAGTGAAAATGGAGCCTGGGGGGGCACGTGTGGCCTCCCTGGGCTCTGTTTTCACTCGCAGAGGGCTGCAGGAGGCCAGCACGTCCAAAAACGGAGCCTGGGCAGGCGGTGCGCGGCCTTCTCCCTGAGCTCTGTTTTTGCTGGCAGAGGCACCAGTCCTTCGCTGTTTCCAGGGTGGCCCCATGGGCCAGATATAAGCACCCCATGGGCCAAATTTGGCCTGCAGCCTTGAGTTTGACATCCCTCTAATAAAGTATTTGATCAAAATATTATGTATATGAAATTAATTATGATTTAAGCCTTTGGGCAGGAGTTCACTGGAAAGCATCATATTGGTCTATTCTTCAGGGCTTTATGGGCAAATCTTTTTCTGTTAAGGACTGTATTTCCTCAAGAGTCTTTGGCAAGGACCTACATAATGGGGAGTTGTAATAGCATGTGGAAATGCCATAAGGAGACAGGAGAAGAGCTTCATCTCTTCCTTTTATTCTCTTTCTGACAACCCCTTCTCTTTTCCAAATAGCAGCTAATGGAAAAAGGGCAAAATCTCTTTGCAGAAGTTGAAGTGATTTTGTGCAGAGGGTTTTGGAAATTACTCCAACAGCCACATGTGGCTTGCAGATTGTCTTTATCTAATTTGGGATAGGAGTAGGGGAGGTGAAGCAAGCATCTGTGAGCTATTTTAAGAGCAAAATACTATTGTGGCTGCTAATATGGGCCTTATATATATAGCCTAGATAGCATACCATTGTACTCTGCAGTATATGGAAGGGGCACACTCCCTCACCCAGTGACCATGCTATCCTTTCCTGGGTGGATAACATTACAGCAGTAGCCAAGCAAAGAAAACAGAAAGCAGAAGGAGGCTGACACAAGTAGAAGAGAATAAGGATAAGAAATAATAAAGGAGTGGGGAAAACAATATAATAATTATTTGGAAGATAATTCTTAAGGGGCATAAACTGAATAAAGGAAAGGGAAATTGTCAGAGTCACAGAGAAGGAAAGGTTTTTTCCAAGCAAACTGGAACTTAATAATTGGAGTCAGTAATACTCAGAGGAACTTAAATGAAATTTCACATTTGCATTAAGTGCATACAGGTAGTCTTCAACTTACACCTGTAGCGGAAACTGCTCATTTTGGCTGTAAGTCATGACAGTCATATAATTTTATTATCTTTTTTTGTGGCAGTCTTTAAACAAACCAACCATTTGCTCTGGGCATATTTTTGCCAAAAACTGGAAGTAAATGCTGTTTTTTAGCAAAACCGTTGTAAAATAGTTGTGATTGTGGGATGCCTAAACTAGCCATAACTGTGGCCTGATTGCCAAGCTCTTGAAGTTCAGTCATGTGAACACAGGGGGTTGTTCATCAGAACTTTGAATCTGGGTTGTAAGTAGCCTCCAGGAAGGTCCATTGTAACTTCTAACAGTTACTAAGGTCTACCTGTATTGCATTATTTTGTCATGAGCTCTTGTAGGAAATTAGAAAACACTTACAGGCAATTTGCAGCCTCCAACGTTGCACAGTTTTCTGATGAGTGCGCCAGCAATAATAATAACCATTTCTCTGATTTCATTGTTGCCAATTGGACTCCTGAATTTATTCTGTTGTATTTAAAAAAAAGTCAAGTGTCAGCATTGGACCATTAAATCTAACATTTAAAAATTTCTATAATCCCTTTGGGGGGTTTCGCACAAATGTTTTTCTGAAATTTGGCTTACACAAAGCTCGCATGACCTAACCCTACTGGTTTTCTTTAAAGCTTCAAAGATTTGGTTCTGCCAAATCTGCCAAACTTGGGACCTGAGTATGTAGTTGAGCCCATATCATGGGTGATTGCGCTGTTTGCTTAGTTTTATCTAAGTTGCTATATTATTTCTTATTTGTTGTTTTGTTATCTTTTGATTGTGTTTTGATTTCCTGGAAGCCACCAAGAGATATCTGGGATGGGTGTTCATATAAATTGAATGAATTAATAAAATAAATAAATGATACTAATCTCTCAATGCTCCTTATTCAAAAAGGATCAGCCTACCTACCATCGTGCTGTGCAACACACAATATTTTATAAAATATAAAATAGCCAGCAATTTGCAAAAAAATATTCTCATGAAGAATTGGAGCAGTTTTGCTGAATGGGAAAGGATCAATGATGGATTGGTATCCATCTCATCACGAGGAAACCACCAGATCTGCAGCTTCATAGAGCAACTTTTGGCTATCATGTTTTTAATTAAGAATCAGGAGAGAAAATACAATCAGCATTGCTGATATATGAAAGGCGGGGAAATATAAACTTAACTTTCCCATTCATAACTTTGAATAAGCATCTCTTTCCCTCCACATTAAAATTAGCAGTAGAGGGGAGAAAAATCCCATTAAGTAGCACCCCTCAAACATTTTTCTTAGTGAAAATGCATGCCAGGAAGAAGAGGGATTTTAGCCATATTTTTATCTGCATTTTCCCTAATAGTACTGATTTTTTTGAATTCCAAATGCACTTATTTAGCTTTATTCATAAAGTCTTTGTTTTTACTTTATTATTTTTACCATGTTGCTAATAGTACTAAGTGCTTCCCAAACCAAAGGCTGTGTCAAAAGCTAGTCTCCTTTGATTCAAAGAAGCTCACTTCGAGGTGACTTTCAAAAGCTCATGTTCATCTCTCCAGAAAAGGGTGTTTCTCAGAAAAAGAAAAACATGGTCTTAAAAACTGTGCTATAGTCACGTTTCCTTGACTGCTCTGGGTAACTTACAATTAAAGATCTGAGTAATAACTCATTGGGATGAGAAGTGAAACCAGAAGCATAGAGGAATCGTTCCTGAAGGAGAGATCCACTCTTGTTCTTGAAATCCAGAAAATCTAACATCGCTTCCAGAGAGGCTGAAGTATGTGCGGAGGCCACCGCGTCAACTAGTTGGGGACTGTATGGAGGCCAAGCAGAGAAATAAAAAGTTAGTAATTATTTAAAACACATTGCTGTTGCTGTGTCTTCCTGCATTTTTGATGAATATATTGATTCAGATAGTCCTTGCTTACTGACCATAGTTTCAACAGCATTAAATAAAAAGATTGGTCCTTGTGGTTGTGCCTGTTGTAGCTTGTCATGTCCCAACATAAGATCTTTATATACTGTTGTTGCTCTCTAGCCTCATCTAGTGGCCAGAGGGACAAATACAAAGTATATTGTTTGAAGCTCACCCAACCCATTTTACCCATCAGCCCACATTCTCAAACCAAGTGCACGGTGGGAAACCTTCCTTTAGCATTTGGAGAAGACAGGAGCACAAAGAAGCATCCATCTTAATTTGTGGCTCATGGTCATTCAAGGACAAACCCACATCCCACACAGAGCATTGTTGGTGAGATTTAAATTGCTTGTATTTATTAATTGTTATGTTCAGCAGTGACTTAATACTGTCTATCTTGTATTTGGTTCTCATTGTATGTATCCCTATTTTCTCCAGTTTCACCATATCCTATTCTTTCAATAAAACATTCAGATCTATGCACAGGGTCTGTTTTATTGGAGGGTAGGTGGATTTAGCTGCATGTCGAGCTACACACAGACTAACATGTAGTGGCGGCAGAACCCTCACGCCCTATTATGAGATCCCAATTCAGATGCTAAGCAACTATCTCATAATTACAATGATTGCTGTGTTCCACTGTCACAATTGTCATTTGCAACCTTCCCTCCAGCTTCTGTCAAGCAAAGTCAATGGGAGAGCTGGCAGGAGTTATAAATAGTGATTTTGTGACATCCACATGACTGACTGACAGACTTGTCAGTCTCAATTGCCATTTTTATGCTAGAACTACCTCTCCCTGGATAATGTTTCATGTTACTACTATTCAATTTGAACAGCTACACAACAGGTTTGGGCAATGCTAGCTTCCATAAAAAAAACTGCAGACAACGCTAGCTGGCAGCAAAATGTTAGCATTGTTCTGGGTCTCTTTTCTGCCATCTATTAATTTTGCATATTTTTTGCAATTCAAAACTACTTGAGCCTAAAGTTAGATCTGAAACCAGGATAATAAGGCCTGACTAACAAGGAAGTTATTTGATGATAATAATATTAGCTGGCTTGTTAGTTATTTGTTCATGGCTTACCCAGGAAAAAACAAAGGGACCTCTGATCTAGTTCATAGTGGCTTGAAAACAGTGCATATTGTGCTAACAAGTAAGAACTACAGCAGTGTTTTGGTATTTTATTCATTTTGATCATAATAATCTTATATAAGTCTAATCTTATATAACTTTACAAAATACAAGAATTCTTTCTCCAAAGCTTACTGAAATTTAAAATGGAGATGTTACTGCAGAAAGAGTAAAAGCCATTGCCAGCAACTCACAGTATTTCTGTATTATTTTCATTTCTCAGTAGCTGTAAGATTTCTTCTTTTGTTGCTTTCTTCAGGCTCTTGATAAATACCAAAAATCCTTTTACGGCATCGGCTTTTGAAAGATTATCTGGTTCAAGCTGTTTTTGGATGCCCATCCACTGCTGAAACAGCTGCCAAAAAGACACACAATTTGAACCTTTGCCCCTTCAAAAGTTTGTCCTCTGTGAGTTGCTTGTAACTTGGGCTGGTCTCCTTTTTCAGCACTCCACAAATTGGCCTGGGATATTACCTACTCTCTTCTGATAAGAACTGAAAGGCCAAAACTTCTCCAGCTTTAGCCTGGTTTTCTAAAAAGAAACTGACCTTTTGATCCCATTAGACTTTTTCATATTTTTTTTCAGAGAAATCAAAAGAAGGGAATGAGAAAGTAAACCTGAGGTGATCAGAAAAACATTGGTGAGGAAGAAGAAATATGTTGACCAGCAGATTTTATAATAGCCTAACTTAGATCATACCTTTACAGAATTTTAAAGGTAATAATCAATACTTGATATGTCACCTTAAACGAAACTGAGACAGTGCAATTAAAAACCCCAGAGTTGGCCCTGCAAATGCCAAGGTTGTTAACCAAATTAACAGCCAGTTCAGCTCAGGAAGACCAAGTAATATGAGAAAGAAGCTTAAATATGAGAAAGAAGCTTGACTTGACTTGAATTTCTTTGGTACAAGAGCAAATGAAAGGGAAATACTGTCAGTCTTCGAAGACTGAGATATTATAGCCAATATAAACAAAGTAGAGTTTTAATATTTCATATGAAGTCTGAATTGGTTTTCCTCAAGGGCTGATAGTAATGTTAATAGCAGAGGTGTCATTGATCTTCTGGGGGGGGTTGTGGATCCTGAGTTCTAGATTGTATATTAGCCAAAGCTAATAAAAGACCTGGCTGTTACTTTAGGGTAATCAATCACGGAAGATCCAGAATCACTCCCAAACTTTCAAGTATGGCATTCTTCTCCCCACTCCACAAGTACATCTGCCTATCTGGATTCAGCTTTAATTTACTGTAGCTCAGGGGTCCCCAACCACCGGTCCGCGGACTGGTACCGGTCCGTGGAACAAGTCCTACCTGGCCGCTGGCTTGCTGGGCGCCGCCATCTTGTTTTGATGAAAAAGTGCTTCCGGTGAGCTTTTCCGGGTAGAAAGCTCACCGGAAGCACTTTTTCATCAAAACAAGATGGCAGCGCCCAGCGCTTCCAGTGAGCTTTTCCGGGTAGAAAGCCACAGACTCACAGACGAACACTATACAAAAGCCTGATGATGGCAGATGAGATTCTGCTGAAACGTTGCTACAACTTTAAAAGCACCACTACTATGACGTGGGAAAATACCCGAACAAAGCTGAATGCCATACATGTAAGTACCCGCGAAAACTTAAGAAAACAAATATATATATCCCAGGATTATTTTAAATCTTCAGATGTCTAATTTCAAAAGTCAGATTTTTTTATCTTTGAAACATCCTGTGAAGTTTTGTCTGTCATGTGAAAAAAAAATGTCTGAATGTTCAAACAACTTCCAGTACAGAGCTGAGTGAATATTTTGACCAGTGCTACCGTATACAGCCACTTCTGTTATCCAGTATTATCTCTGGCATTCTTTTGAGAAAGCTCAGCTGTTCCTACCAGCAATGTTTATTGCAGCTCTCCTAACTAGGAAATTAGGAGCTCAGCTCAGCCTTTGCTAAAATACCCTATCTCTTATTGGGCCAGGGTTATTAAGCAATAGTAGCAGATGCTAATTCCAAATAGCACTTGTATAATTTCAGCAGTACAAGTTCATCTTACCTGAATTGTAATTAAACATACAAAAGCAATGATGAGTGAGATAGCAGCTATTTCTGGAGCCTTAATGAATGGCAAGGGAGTACTAATAGCTCAGGACACAGCTGGAGATTAAAAACTTCAGCTGAGCATCCCTACATATCCTATGCTAAATATTGCTTTATAGCCAAGAATGTATGACCCAAGGCCTTGGGATTGTATGTGGCCCTCATTTTCAAAATCTTGTGTGTGATCCTTACAGCTCCTCTGAAAGTTGTGTTGAATGAAATATCTGGCAAGGAAACCTATTGTAAATATGTGAGGAATGATTATATTAATTATTAAATATATTTATTTTCATTTTAAAATTTAAAAGTAAAGTTAAAATGTTTGTGCTAAACCCCCAATTTTTGGAGTCTCTCCCCAATATGCCATTTAAAAACCAAGTGTGACCTTAACCCCCAAAGTTGCCTCTTTCTGATTTATGGACATTTAGTCTCTACAATTATACTGAAGAAGAATAGATGAATAATAAATGAGCTTTCTAGTGGTGAGGTTTTCCTGACATGGCCCAGGCAATGTTGCATGATAGAATTCTCAGTTGTTCAATTGCTGGAGGAGAATAGGGCATCATGGGATAAAAGCTGTTCACATACAGTTCAAAATCTTGGAATTAGGCTCAGAAGCATAACTATAGTAGCAGCGAATATGTTTCCCAGATAAAGTAATCTTAAGTTCTCTAATTCCTTCTGGTACCTTTTTAGCTATGGCCATTTCAATAGTACATAACTTTTATATTTCTTTATTACTTACTGATGGACAACTTTTGCATTCATGAGAGACAGGATCTGCCATCAAAGAAATTGCCACATAATTTGAATCCAGAGCCTTTATAATGCTGGCAACTTGCTTCCCAGCTTTCATTCTTGGACCAGCTTCAGTTGACTTCAGTTCCAGTTTCTGCCTATAGTATGTACATAAGGAAGCAGTTCAACTAGCATGCCTTCTCTAACACAAACAGCTTAAAATAGCTGTATGTGTTGGCAAGGGCTACAAGACATCTATATTCTGAGATATATATAGCTGAGTAATGGTTATAAGCAAAAACATATCTATTTGTGGCAAAATTCATGCAAATAAGGAATCAAATAATATGTAGAGCTGCAGCATTTTTAAAAAACAAAACAAAAGATATGTTTAGATTTGACAGATCAACCATGGACTTTGATATTCCTGAGAACAGGAGAAAGTCAGGCTCTGTGAAGCATTCAGATGAAGAGCCTTGCAACTGAAAAAGACAAAGTACCTCTCTTTGGATTATTAAAGTAGCTGTATCATTTGCATAATTAGTTTGGCTGCTTTGAAAGCCATCCTTGGCTGTCTACATGAGTGGTTGGGGCTAAAGTGTATCTCTATATGCATTTACCCCAATTAGAGAGAAATTTCCAGGTAGCCATTCAAGTTTTTTAATTATGCATATGTGTTGAGGAGATATGCTTTGCTTATATGCTTGCAAAGCACTTCTTCCAAGCCCAATTAATACAAAGCAATGATAGCAATAATAAACATGTTAAGCTTCTTGAATTATATACAAAAATATATTGTTTTCAAAATGTTTTCCCTTTGCTTTTAAATTATAGTACTTGGGATATCAACAAAGGTAAAGGTTAAAAGCATTATTAATTGGATTTGACCATTGGAAATTTTCTGAAAAATAGACAAAGAAACCACCTTACTTTGAAATAACCTTTGCATCAATAAGTTGCAGAGATTTCAAATTAAAAATATGATTTTCTTCAGCCCGCACAGATTTAATGAAGGTGTCCTCCAGTACATAAATTACAGCTGAAGTGGCTTTTTTCGTCACCTTGAAGAGCTGAAAAATGATTTTATGTAAATAAAAAATACATAAATAAATAAAATTAGAAACTAATTCTCCAAATTACATCAATCTGTTTTTATTATACTGTTTGCTGGATATAAAATTACTTGAATTTATCTTGTTCTAAATTATAACATGGAATGAAGTCAATTAACAGTAGTTTTATGGTGAACAAAAGAAAGCAAATCAAATAGCATCAATTGCCATAATATAGGATGATAACTGGTTTATATTATGTTTTTAACATTAATAAGTGATTAAGAAATTTGAAAAAGTATTTACTGAAACATATTAGCTTTTACTGTCCCCTAACGCATGTTTTCTTTATTCAGTACTATTCAAAACTTTGGGAATTTTTTGTCTGATGCAAAAAAAATGTTTTTTTTATTTATTTTTATTTATTTATTTTGTCAAGCATGTATTAGATAACAGATATAAGTATAAACATGATTATGAATACATGAAATGGATAAGAATAAAAGGAAACATTATGACAGGGACGGAAGGCACGTTGGTATGCTTATGCACGTCCCTTACAGACCTCTTAGGAATGGGGTGAGATCAACCCCATTAAAGTGTTTGGGGTTAAAGTGTTTGGGATTTGGAGGAAGAAACCACAGGGTCAGGTAGTGCATTCCAAGCATTGACCACTCTGTTGCTGAAGTCGTATTTCCTGCAATCGAGTTTGGTGCAGTTTACCTTGAGTTTGTATCTATTGGATACAAACTTGAATTTGTATAATTATCGTAGTTCTGAAGTTATCTAACTGACTAGAGATTTGCTGAAGAAAGTAATTAGGATTGGGACCACAAGATTAAACCCCAAGAATTAACCAAATAGTAGAAAAGTTGTGTACCCTACTGTACCTGATTGTGGTTGGTTACACTTGGCTGTTCTAACTTGCAAGAGTTCAGGGCTTTCACTTTAGTGATCTGATTCTGCCGAATTTGATAAGTCACATTACATTTTCCACAAATATCAATCTAGAGAATAGATGAAATAAACATGTTGGTGTATCAAAGACCTGCTGACCAACTTTTTTTTTTTTTTTACAAAACATAGTCTCTGCTTTTTATTATAAATATTCTCAAAGTAATAGTACAACTAATAAAATCATGCAACTGCAGCAATAAAGCAACTCAGTTTCTACCCAAGGTAAATTTCACCTCAGTGAAGGAATTTTCTTTAGACTATAGCTGGTACAGGAAAGATCTGCAGTCCCAATAGTTCTAACTTCCACTAGAGTGATACTGTTTACATTTTTAAAATCTGTAGGATAATTTCAAAGAAGTGTTTAATATCAATAAAACCCTATTCATGTATTACATTAAGGCATTACTTGCTTAACTATGATCTGTTGATTAAGCCACAACTGGCTGTGTTCATATACTACACTATGTCATGAACCATGGCAGAAACTACACAGAGTGGATTCACACAACTTGTTTACAAGAAACAAAACTGACTAATTTGTGTCAACATTCTCCATTATTAAAAACTCTAAATATTTGTTCAGGATTTGACTATTCATATAGCTTTATGACATCCAAGAGAAGACAGGAAGAGGTCCAAATGTTCTCTATAAGTCTTTTATTGTTATACTGACTTGAACTAACCTTTACTCTAGATTTCCAAATAGATTGTAGCAAAGATATCTGTACAAGGAGGAGAGGCAGGGCAAATGATGTCACATGTACTATAATGGCATTGGACACAATAATATCAGGACACATGTGTTGACATTGAGCTCTTAGAGACACTTGGCCATCAAGAGGTCTTATTTAAACACTGAAGTGAATCAGATAGTTCTGTTTAATTTACAACTGACATTTGTGTAGAAATTCTACAAATCAAGCACCAAATATTCGCTTTATTTGTACCCCAACAAGTTATGGTTTGCCAACTATGATTTCAACAAATAAAATTAGTTGAGTAGAATCAAAGAAAACTATATTCCTATCTTAGATTCCCCAGTTTTCTTCAGGTGAATTTACAATAGGCTGAGATGAGAGACGAACATGGTGAAACGAAAAAGCTTAGCAAAAGGGAATGAGCATTTCACAAATTAACTGAATGGTTTTCAACATAGGATACATGTGCAGCAAATTCATTCATTGTTTGTAACATTCATTTTTTATTTATTTGTTAAATTTATTTTCGCTGTGGGGCTACTCTAGGCAGCTAACAGTAATAAAAAGGAAGAAAATGAAAGAAGTATAAATAGAAGTAAAACAAAAGAATAGAATAAACAATGAAAAAGAACAGAATGATAATACATCAGTATGATAACCAAAAAGATGAATGAGTGGAGAGCAGAGCGCAAGGTGGGAGGGGGGAGGTGGAGTCTTCCATCAATCTAGCTGCTACCTCCAGCATAGAAGTCCACCATTGGTTCCCAAGCCAACTGGCAGAGCCAGGGTCTTATATTTATACTTATATTTATATAGATGTAATGTAATAGAATGCAATGTAATATAATGTAATATATTAGTAAGAAAACTAATATATTTATGTTTATACTGTTAATATAGCACTCCATGACTGTGACTTCATTTTGTCTTGCTCTTAACCCTTACTTTGAGGGCAATAATGAGCTATAATAATAATAATAATCAGCAGAATTATAAATCTCATTATTGGTGGTCAGTGGTGGGATTAATTTTTTTTTACTACCGGTTCTATGAGAGAGTGCTTTGTGTGCGCACACAGCGTTCAAAATACACCAATTTTAAGCACTACAGCACTGCAGCTTACCTTCTAGGGCAGTCCCGGTAAGTAAAACAGCTGAGGTGCGGGAATCCACTGTGCCACATGAATCAGCTGAGCTGAAAAATGCGGAAATATAGGACAGGATAGGGCGGGGTGGATGGGCGGGGCCAGCTGATTGTTGGAGATACCAGTTTACTAGAACCGGTCAGAACCGGCAGCATCCCACTACTGCTGGTAGTGTGTTAGTCAAATCACAAGCTTCTTATATAACATACATAAGACATAGACATTTATGTTTAACTCTTTAAAACTTTGTCCTCAACATTGTAAGAGGGTGGCACTCACTGCATTTATTTCTGCCCAAATGTGCACATATACCTAGAAAAGGCTTATATAATTTTTACAAAAATCTATATCCCCCTTTCTCTTCTTTTTTAATGATGTATCTCATCTTCCAGAGTAATAGCCTATCTGTTCCTGTTCTTTATTCTCTTTATTCCTTTGTTTTTATAATGTTATTGCATTGTTCTATGCTGTTTGGTTATGATATACACTACCCAGAGTCAATTTGGAATTGTATGGTGCCTAAATTAAATAAGTTCAATTTAAAATCAAGACAAGCAAATGCATTTAGCATGCATGAAAGAATAGAGTACCTCGCTGGTAGATCCAGAATTTAGCTGTATTTGAAACAAACTAGCCAGGCCTCTCTTGAGATTCTTGATAATAGAAGGTTCATCTTCATAGCAGTAGAAATTTTTAACCTAGAAAGTGTGGAAGGAGAGAGAAAGAATTTGTAATAAGAATAAATTTTAATTTGAAAACTATCCTCCAAAATTCCAGTCATTATTTATCATTAACTTATTTTCACAGTTATTAAGATGAATCAGTATTCTATTCTACACAGTTATATCCCAAAGCACATCCAATGAAAAGCAGCAGAACAACAACAGAAATCTGTGTCAAATCTGCAGAATAAAACACAATCTATATATTTCCAAGCATGGAATAATCTTATTATGCAACACTTTCTTTCAATAATAGAAACATCAAAGCACTTTAAATTCATGCAAAATCAGCAGTGCCGTGCAAACTTAAGCCTGATATCAAAATATTCGACCCAGAATCAGATGTAATAAATCTTTCTCAAGCTTCCCTGAATAAATAATATTACCATCTGATGGTTATTTAAAATGCCAAGTGCAGGAAACAACCAAATGACTTAGAATGTTTAGTACAAAAAGTGATGGATGATGTGATGTTTGTTTGCAAATAAGTATTTTTATTTGGGGTGGGGGGTGAGTATCCAGCTTTGGTAAAGATTTCCCCTTTCCAACTGTGGTATCCAACTGTAGGGGGAGGTGCTCATCTCCATTTCTTAGTCAAGGGAGCCAGTGTTATTAGAAGCATCTTTGGATGCTTCTTCCATGGTCATGTAGCCAACAAGTCTGTACACCAAGGTGTACTGAACCTTTCCTACTGAAGTGGTACCTATTTATCTACTTGCATTTGCATGCTTTCAAACTGCTATGTTGCAGGAGCTGGGACAAGTAATGGGAGCTCACTCTGTTATACGGCACTCAGGTCTCGAACTCAGGCTGTCAGCATTCCAGCTGACAAGCTCAGCATCTTTAATACACCCTTTTCCAGCTCTGATATAGAACACTTACTTTTAATGTAGAAGGTTTTATCCAGCTTTTCACAACCTGGTGACTTCCAGATTATTGTAAATCAATTTCCAAAAATCCTCATGTCTGCATATCTTAAAGTAAGTTCCTGGTGTTTTCAATTTTAAAAAGGATCAGAAGGTGAAGCCCCTAGCTACTCAAAACCCTGGGGAACCACTACCAGACTAGATTACTAGTGGCTAAAAGTTACATTCTCAATCATCCAGGTCATGGTTATTCCAAAAGTGCTTTTTCCAAAAGGCAATTGGACTTTCATGCTTTTTTCCTTGAAAACATTTTGCTTCTCACCCAAGAAGAACTGAAGAAGTCTTTTGGAAAAGCACTCTTGGGAGAGATGGAAAAGATACTAAATTTTGATCCATATCAGAAATCTTCTAGATGATGTGGATGTCTCCAGAGGGTACATGGTGTGTTTTTCTGGGAACTCATAATCTAAACAATCTATGCATTTTTTTAATCTCCCTCTAAGCATAGAATAAACATTTATAAGCCTTCATCTTGCAGTGCATAGACAATGGCTATGATGATGATGATGATGATGATGTGCTCATGATGTTTTCTTTATAATTCCCAGTCCATAACAGTCTTAAAATAGTATTTTCTGTTTCTCTTAATACAATTTTTGCCATGGAGATTGCACAAGATGCTTCCTCAATAATGCTGGTGATGTTGATGTAATGGACTGGGATCAATCCTAATACCATCATGTTATTCTCAGAAACTGGGAAAAAGTATCCCAAAATGATTGGCTCCTCTAATTAAGTGAAAATAAATAATCTGTCTCTGGGATGGCAGGAAGAAACTACTAATGTTAGTTCTATCTGACCCTAATAATAGTCAGGTACACTGATTAGTCGTCAAGATATGACATGAAATTGACTTAATACGCTCACCTTTCATACTAACTCCCCTTTTGCCACCCCAGCAGAAATTTTGAGATAACACATACTGTAAATCTTGGTCCTTGATCTAAGCTATGCAATCAGTCAAAAATGAACCATAGCAAAATTAATAACAGAGGGACGTGTCAGAGGCAGAGTGATCTTTGAACTGGCTGCTGCCTCTGAATTTAAACCACAAGACTTTGTTCTTTCACCTAGCTCTCAAGCAGTTAAAACATGCTGAGCTGCTGCCCATTCTGCCCTTTATAAGGGTTACAATTAGTACATTATCTCTTAATGGCACTCCATCGATACATTTTGGCATCCCTTTGAGAGCAGTATTCTATTTCCATGATGGGCAAACATTTTCAAGGCACGTAGGTGAGTCTTATTTGAAGTCCTTCTCATTCATCCTCAAAATGCCATTTTTCCATCTTCAGATCATAAAGCTTTCACCAGTGGGATCATCGCAAGGGATCTGATATAGAGTGGGCTCACCAGCCTTTGATCCCGTGTTCTTCGTTCAATACAAAAAAAAACCCAGGGGATTTAGTGTAGCCCACACAATTCAAATTGCTTTTCTATTATGCATTCCGACTCTCCGTGGTATTAGACTGGAATGGAGAATCCAAGACATGAATGGATGTGTGGGAATGGATTACCCACAAGCTAGTACCACTCATGAAACCCTTTCATGTGATCTAATGCAGCTTCTCCACCCAAAAACACCCTGACATTTTATTTTGATTGCTCTGGCAGAGAGTGAAGGCAAAAGGCCAATCTGTCCACTCCACAACTAGCACAATATGCTCAAAGCAGTCATGATGATGTAGTAGTTGTTGCTTTTTTAAACGCTGGGATCTAGTACATTGGCCATGTAGATTCTATCAGGGCTGGGATGAGATCTGGATTTCAAGTGATTCAGAGAACATGTGGGTGTGTATGTAACGCTTGCTGGGATCACCTTAAAGTAGCTGCGGCTGACACACAATCCTGGAAAAGACACATTGGTTGTATAGTGTTCCACACAGTTGCTACCTGCGTGCTTTCAAGGGCAATCATTGGTGGGGGAGGGGCTCAAAAAGTAAGGATGGCAGCCATTAATGACCAACTGAAGCCCCACCCTGTTCTACATGCGTCGTGGCATGCAGAAAGAAAGAACTGAACTTTTGATTGTGCAAACTTTTGTGCTCTTTGCCCTCCCCCTGACACTCAATGCCATTGAAAGTTCTTAACCGCAGTGTATGCTTTGAATGTGGATCTTTCCCCAGCCGTATTATCTATCAGATTTACTAAATCTTCTGCTATTGTTTGCATGGAACTTACAAGACAGCTCTTGAGCATGTGCTGGCTATATAATACATGGTGACTGGGTTACATATCATTTAGCCTTTTACAAATATCATGACCCTAATTCAAAGCATGCAAGGTAGATATATATAAATAAAACCTTTAAAACGAACCTTTCTACTTATTCTCTTACCTTTCCACGAATCCAATGCAGAAATACAGGCCTTTTTAAAGCAGCAAGATGTTCTTCTTCATATAGTTTATTGGTGTTTTTCTGCTGAAAAATGTCTTTTGCTACAGGACGCTCGTTCACATTTTCAAGTGATACATCTGTAATCTGGAAAGGCAAAAACAACAACAACCCCCAATAAAATAAAATAGGAAAAATCAACTAATTTGCAATAGGAGTTTATTTCCTCAGAGTTAATTTCCCCTTTTTTCAATTATTTTTCAAAATGTATTTTCCATTTTATCTGTGTACTTTGAAGTGGCTTTTCAAAACCAATGTGTAACCTGCAATTTCTAATCAGTCTTACACAAATTGGCCAAGGACAATGATGAATTCACATAGCACACTAACTCATAATGTGATTTATTTGGTTTTTTTTTTGTTTACTATGATGTGATTTTACAAATCTGGCCTTTGTTCTATTACATGAGAGTTTACAGAAGCATCCTGAAATAATTAAACTCTACATAATTGATAGGTCTTCTCCAATGAGCCTTAAATATTGGAAAATTCTAAATAGAATCTCTATATTTCTCATTTGGCTTCAATTCACAAAGTTGCTAAGTTTGAGCCTGATAGCTCCTTATGTTGAAACCTGTATCCCAGTATGTACCACTGAACATCGTAGGCTATACTTTCTAAGTAAACAGTGCAATATTAAATGCCTTCAATTTTAAAATGCATCCTATATTTTCTATAAGTACAAATTAATCACATTTTGCATCTTGACTTACATTAACTAAATTTGCATTACCCAAATTATCAGAAAATGCCTTTATAACATCATCTTACAATAATTGCCTACCGCAATTTTGATCAACTGGTCATCGTCATTATTGGGATTTCTCCATACTAAGTTGACATCCACTCCAGATGCAATTTGATAGCCCACACTCTCATGGGGTAAACCTCTCACTCTGTCAATAAGAACTTGGGTGGAATAGGTAAATTTGTATAATTTGTCATTGTTTATTCGAGGACCAGTATTGTGGCCTATATGAAGAAAAAAAATAATTGTGGACAGTGTTGCATCAGTGATAAACTAAAATACAAAGAGGCCACCACATAATAGTCCTATCTCCAAAGCATGGTTTAAATATGAGAGATTTAAGACAACTCTTAAACTTACCTCTGAACAGATTCACCACCAAAGTTCCACAGATTGAACCTTAAGAGTCTTTCTAGATGCTTTTTAACAAACTTTTGTGAATCATATTTGCACTAAAACTCTACTTAAAACTTGCCACCTTTAATGAAAGGATAACGGAGTAGCATACCCAAACCAAAGTTCCAGGAATTAAAACAGGAACAGTCTAAAATAGGAAAGCCCTATGCAAATATAGGAAAATATATAAATAAAAAGGTGTGTGTGTGTGTGTGTGTAGGGAGGGAGGAAGGAAGGAAGGAAGGAAGGAAGGAAGGAAGGAAGGAAGGAAGG